GAGCAGCTAATGATTGACGACAAAGTGATCACTCCATATTACTACTTTTGGTTCTTAATATAAGATTTGAGGACTAATTTGAAAATATTAATAAAGTTACTAAATTACTTAATTATAGCATATGTTATATGGTCTTTAAAATATTTCTGTATGTTATTAAATTAATATCAGTTTATAAGCGAGTCAAGTTAGTTGAAAGAAAAATAATAAATATAAACACTTTAAAGTAATACAGTAGTTTTCTTAATTTCTCTAGATTAGTCAACTAGGTTGTACTATTTTTGGTCTTAATTATAAGACTTTATTTGTAGATGATAAATGAGACTTTATAATTATGATGGAAGTAGTATGTTAAGAACCGGATGTAGTGTGAAAGATAGAAAACTTTTTCTTTTGCCCGAAACGAGGAAACTTATCTGGTTCTTAATAGAACAAGCAACATTAACTGAGGCAAGCGACAAACCGTGTTCTAATGAGTACGATAAGGACGGTTAGTCAAAAATAACAGCAACACATTACCCTAAACTCACATAAATATGTTTATTAGGGCATGAACATGGACACCGATTATCCAAATGCCGCATCAAAGCAGCATGCCCAGAAGAAGGGGAAAAAAAAAAAATCGAAGTACACCTAAACCCAGCTAATGTCCCCCTCCCAAAAGAAGAGAAAATTGAGGGTGGGGGGGGGGGGGGAAAGGAAGGAAGGTATTCCACTACACCTAATGATTGTCGAAACGAGGAAACTCATTACTTGACCTTCCAAGGTTCAATGGAGCCATATTCTCTTCATTAAAAAAAAAAAAAAGGCAATAAACAAATGAATAAATAAATTAAATAAAGATTCAAATAATTGAATCCCTCCAAAGCCAAGTCATGCTGCTTTTTGGGGAGTCAAACCCTCTGAGACATATCTTTAAAGACCCAACAAAAAGCAGAGATGACCCCCGCAATTCATCTCAAGATATTCTTTTTTATTTTCAATTAATTAATCATAGAGAGAGGGTACCCACACATAGGATTCTCCTTCTCCTTCACTTCTACTCATTATTTTAATCGTTTTATTTTCTCTGAGTTTTCTCTCTTGAAGGCCAGACCTTCAAAGTGCTGTAAAAGCAAAAGGAAAGAAATTTAAATTCAACGAAAGTTAATTGGAGCCCGACAGCATAAATAATTGAAATGGTTCCATCACAGAGAGCGATGAATTATGTTACCCTTGTAAATAATTTTTTTTAAAAGTCATTTTTTATTTCTGTATTTAATAACTTTCTAATTTCTTTTACGAAAATAATAATTTATATAATAATAAATAAAGGATAAATTTATATATTCATATAAAAAAATGAATGATGTGACTTATTAATAAAATAAAAAATTATTTTTCTGGTTTATAAACAGGGGGGAGATTAGTGAAAGCTGCAGTCGTAATTAATTGTAGATATAAAAAGAAAGGAGTCTTTGGGGTGATGTTACACATGAAGATTGTTTAGAATATTTTTAAAGATTATGTATCCACCAGCCAAAGATTTCATTGATTTGTAGAAAGAGATAGTACTTTCGAATCATACTTTTTTTTTTTTGGCAATTGAATTTGTTTGTCTACATTTGTCAATGGAAGAACAATTATCCTTTAAAACGTTGAAGTAGGAGTGGGAGAGGCATATTTACTTCAGTTCCAAGAGACAGGCCTAATGGTCCAAATATTATTATGAGAAAACCATATTGGAGGTACTTATATTTTTTTTTAATTTTCAATTTGATACCTATGTGTTTTTTGTTCTTAACTAAATCTTTAATTTTGCTCTATTAACATCATTAATCCTTATGTAGAGACTAAAAATATCAATAGAACAAAGTTATAAGAGCTAATGTTGCTAAAAAGATAAAATTAAATGTTTAATTAAAGGGAAAAAAACACATAGATACCAAATTAAAAATTGAGAGAAAGTATAGGTACCTTCAATATAGTTTTTCCTATTATTATTGCAGAAGTCCCGCCGGACGTAAAATTAAAAAAAAAATATTCTAAGAATAACTGTGAAAAAAAAGAGAAGAAGATAAAAATAGGTTTTTCATTTTTATACATGCATGTATATTTGCAATTTAATTTGACACTGCCTTTAAGCCTTTAAATAATTGTAAAAGTTATCATCATACCGATGCGGTCCCTTTTAAACGTACAAATTGTTTCCCACTACAAGTGCTTCAAACCTATATTTTGGGCAAATATCAAATAATAGTGTTTTTCCCCCTTTGTATGAGTATATCCTAATTTCCCAGAATCTCGTAAAATTATTTACAGAAGCGAAAAAAAATAAAAAATAACTTTTATCTCACTAAATAAACTTGAAATAATAAATATTAAATAAAACAAAATAAGGAGTCAAGATTTTTCCTATACACAAACATCAATTATTATTTTTTTTAAAAAAAAAGAAGAGAGGAAAGCTGAAAAGGAGGGGCCCTTTTCACCTTTTCGTCCACTTTGTAATTATTGTTGTTACTGCTGGTATACATGGACATGATTGTAGACAGCACTTGGAAATAATATATATTATAAACATATTTAATTTATGGGCAGATTATTTGTAATTTGGGACCCCATGCTCTACATATGAATCAATTTTTCGAGCCTTTCAAATTTTTTCACGTACATAAATGAGATTAGAGCATCAATAAATTTTTTTAAATAATTTGGAAAACGCAAAAATTAAGGTTGAATGTTGAATATGGGGGAGGTGAGGTAAACAAAAAATGGATGGGGCTGGAGACAAATGTGAGAAGCAGCTTTTAGTGGCCGTTTTGTGCTTTTGATGCCATCACTGACCCCCCACCCTCCCACTCATTATTATTATTATTCCTCCTACTTCTCCCTTTCTCTCTTCTTTTTCAAAATCTAAATACACACTCCTATTATTATTATTATTATTATTACTATTATTCGACAATTCTACTTACATCCAGTGAACCCAATAATACACAGTTTGTATGGTCTAAGTTGAAGTAATGAAAGCGGGCATTGAATTGATTGTCCCCACACCAAGTACAAGACAGACATAAATGTCATGAATTTGATAAATGTGTACGTAAAGCTACACCTTTTTTTTCTCTCTTGTCTGGCTCATTTTTGTTCTGATCAGATCACATTGAAATAATATGCTTTTGGTGAATGAAATAATATCTTTATTCATTGCCTTTTTTAAGAAAATTATAATGTGTGTGAAGGTGGGCAGGACTTGTGGGATAAAATTTAAAATTAAACGGTGGAAAAACTTAAAGTTCAATTTTTTTTTGGTTTAATATATATATGTTAAGATAATTACAGAAAATATGTCTTCATTACTTAGATCCGTTTGACCAAACAATAAAACTCCGGGACGGCTTTTTGAGGGAAAGGGAGAGAAAAATTTCGTGGCGGACGGTTTCCCAATAAAATATATGTAATTCAAATATGGGGATCATGTGCTCGCACATATTTTCACCTGTTTATTTAATTTTTTATTTTGCTCTGATCGAGAAGAAGTCGTTCCTGTTAAGCTTTCTGAGGACAAAAAGACGCATTTCATCTGAAAAAATATATTTCAAATTCATGGTGTATTCATCCTCAATTAATCCTGCTTCTGATCTTTAATATAAAAATTAATTAATTAATTTAAATAACTTATAAAAAATAGTTAAATTAGTTATTTGTAATAAATAAGTGTTATCTTTTTTAAAATATCATTGCTACTCAGATGTGTCGGTTAGAATTACTATTACTATAAGGATTATCTTGAAAAAATAAATATGAGAAATAAAGTAAACTGGGATTTTACATTTAGGATTAAAATAAAATCAAATAAACTCTTATATTAAGTATAAATTAAAGAAGCAATAACAATTACAATAGTAGCATAGAATCCTTAAAATATAAAAGAAATGGATTAAGAAAAATAGACTTAATTTTTAAAAAAATCACGATACCCTTTCTGGGGTCATGAACAAAAATGTAACAAGGCTCCCCAGTTTCCAGGATGTATAGTGCCTGTTTGACATCACTTATTTTGAGCTTATAAGTAGCTTATAAGCTCTATAAGCTCGATTGACACAATTGGGTTTGTTTGGATCAGCTTTTCTGCAATCGGGCTTTTGTCTGAAAAGCTACAATAAGCTTTAAGCTAAAATTAACAGCTTATAACTTATAGCTTATGGTTTATAGCTTTTGAAATATGGAGAGAGAAAAAGTTAAGAAATTTATTACCTCTTTTGGTTCTTATTATAAGCCTTAAATAACTAATTTGTAGATAATAAAAAATTAGTTAAAATTAGTTGAAAGTAATGAATAAGTTAGAAATATATTTTTATTTTTAAATATGCTCCTAAAAATATACTTTTATTTTTTCATGTTTCATTTTATATTTAAAATATTTTTTATGACTTCTTCATATTAAATTATTTTAATTTTATTGTATTATGTGAAATTATTTTTTTAATCATGTTTCAATATTTATTAAAACTCATATCTATTTTGGTCATTTTATAACCAAACTTACTTTTACTCAATCATAATCCAAACAACATTTTACCAATCTCACTTTTGCAATCTAACTTTTCTGAACTCTAATCCAAACATAATTCAACATATCCAATTTAACTTTTATCCAATTTCACTTCTCTATAAACTACCTTTTCAATAAGCTATTTTTTCAATCGTTGATCCAAACGGACCCATAGTCATTAAGTTGAAGAGATTTCACCCAACCAAAAAAAAAGAAGCAGAAGATTGGATTGGCCCAACTAAGCCCATAAAATTATAATCTAATGCGCATTTGTCGTTATCTTCCGGAAAAGTGCATTGAACTGTCAATGACTTAGTTTTTTGTTGGGCCAAAATAAGAATGAGGCTCATGAGTTTCAACCCTGCCGATTGAGTGAAGAGCTTGTTGTGGTTAATACGGACGGGAGGGAATATAGTTTTCAAATGGTGGGTGTCGCTGGAACGAGACGCTAAACCTTCGAGCCATGGAGCAGTGGGGTTCATTATTTAACACTCATGTGAAGCTCCTCGCCTTCGATCTTCATTCCCTCACCCAAACCCCTTCTTCCTCTTTCTCTCGCAGAGGCATTCCCCTCTCTCGCGCTGAAGCCGTCGGCACCGTCACCTCACGTGACCTCAAACCCGACAGATTCCTCAGGTTCACCCTCGACGACGGCACCGGCTGTGTCAGCTGCATCCTCTGGCTCAACCAGCTCTCCTTTCCTTGCTCCGCCCAGCTCCCTATCTCCCCAGATGTTGCCCTCATCGCCGCCTCCGCTGCCGGCTTCGCTGATCTTGTTCAGCTCGGTAAGGTGGCCAGAGTGCGGGGCCAGATCACCAGGTTCAGAGGGGCGGTGCAGATCACTGTGTCAGATGTTGTGATCGAGAGTGACCCCAATGCCGAGATCCTCCATTGGCTGGATTGCCTCAATTTGGCGCGCAAGTGTTACGACGCTTTGCCTTCACCGTTCTAGACGCAACTAAAAGCAGTCGTTTTTGCGGAACCGTACTTGTACGCTATGTTTGGCTCGACGGAAGGAAGGAGAGGGGAGGGATTTTAATCAAGGGAAGGGGAAGGAAGGAAAGGGGAGGGTAGCTACGTTGGATTGATTGGAGGGGAGGGAGCATTTTAATAATACCTTATTTTGTTCTAAAAAAAAATTGACTATTTTAGCCTCATAAAATTTAAATGAATTTCTCACTTTTTATTTGTTAAGATATAACTTATATATATAATACAATTCACTAATTGATTTACAAGATACAGTCACACACTTATAGAATATCAAGACAAAAAGTTATAGTGATAGATTTCAATCAGAGAAAAGACCTTGAAGGTGAAAGAAAATACCAACGGCCTCTTAGAATTAGAAGAAGAGAAAAAAGTTTACAAATGCTCACTAATTTTGGAGATAATTATCTTAATAACCTCTTATTAGATGCTCAAAGAACTCTATTATGTAGAAATGTTTATGATTGATTAGAGGTTCAAATCGAAAGGGCATATAAGGAATTAAAAGATCATCTCTCACCTCCCTCCAAAAAACCCCACTTTTGGAGGGAAGGCTAGAAGGGAAGGGGAGGGGAGAAGAACCTCTCCCCTCTTTAAAAAACATCTTAACCAAACGAGGGGAGGGGCTCCTAAAAAATTATACCAGCCAAACAAGGGGAGGGGAGCAACTTCCCTCCCCTCCCCTCCGAAAACCCCGTACCAAACATAGCGGTAGAGTTTCTCCCCCTCTTCCGCCGAAAAAAGAAATTTATCAAGGAGATGCTAACACAAGATGCGATGCTTTTCGTTTCCTGGTGGTGTGCCAATGGTAAAAGCAAAACCTGACGAAATTGATATTTTGCAACTGAGGTTTATGCTCATTCTAATGGCGTCTTTGCTTCTTCTGATGTTCCTACTTCGCCTTTTTATGTAACTCCTTTCATGCGCGCGACGAGAGTCGAATAAGGTATTAGCACGTGCGGAATAACTTAGAGAAGCTCTCGCACAACATTAGAAAAAGGAGAGATGGAATTCATCATCAAAATTGCTGTACACAAGATATGTGTGACGTTGACATTCGAAAATGATGAAACAAGATATGGTCGTCTATTTGTAAACATTCATTCACGCTTACAATTATAACCAAATGAATCTTGCTAAAAGCTGGAAGCTTTGGCTTCAAGATCACCATTTGCGGTGCCCATTTCTTACCCTGTTCTCCATAGCCATGATGATGTTCTCTATGATCACTGGTATCAAGAATGGCGTTAGGTCAGATTCAGACACGCGTTGGCAGTTTGTATACTCCATCATGGTGTGGCGGGGAAGCTGCACTCTGAAACATCAAATCGACTTTTTCTTTTGTCACTGTTTAAGCCTAACCTGCAGAATTAAATGCACTTGCTTCTTGAAAATGGACCTCAGCTCTTCATTAGCTTCAATCCCAATCCTCCTGCATCAAACAAGCCCCAAACAATGAAAAGTGCGCAATTTTAACCGCAAGGATTCAGAAATAACCGGTAGCATTGAGGAAGCTGCAAAGAGAAATTAATCCTAGAGAAATTCACTGGTAAATTCAATTTACAACGAGTTAGGGACCAAATTTACACGAAAGCATGTTGGAAGTAGATCCAACTTATCATAACTGACACTGATGGTTATGGTTCAATCTAGGCCTGTTATAGTTTTAGCTCAGTCTAGGTTCAAATGGCTCAATGGTAACTGAGAGTGGATGCAATGGCTGAGGGACTTGTAAACAAGAATTGACCGTGGAAAATCGTGATATTATTGGATGGTGTTATGCTCTGATGCCATAAAGGTTTAAATGAACACGAAAACTTGTTTAGTCAACCAAGGCTCCATATATTTATTCACAGTTACACACAAGCACATACACTTATTGAGATAGCAAGAAGAATTCAAATATCGCATGCTGCACTCGGTGTGCTGCCCTAATAGCAAAGTAGTCCCCTTTGGTTTAACTCCCTTTCAATTCAAGAAAGAATTCAAATATTTGAAAATTGAAACCAGGCTAACACTCCCAAATTGATACGACAGCAAATCTCATTTGGCTATAATAACGTGATACTTATTCTTTTAACAGCTAAAATATCGTATCTTTGAAGACAAAAAGAAAAACCAGCAGTCCGGATCCTCTGCTGTAAAATAATTTATTATGGGTTATCCTCTGAGTGAGTGAGTGAGGGTAGAATGTGTAATCAGATGAAATGGGCCCTACACACTCCCACTTGTTTGTGTCATTCTCTCTCTTAGCACTACAGCGGAGGACCTAATATAAATATCAACTAGTTACATAACTCTATAAAAATATAAAAATAAAGACTGAAACAGTAGTTACCCAATTTTGGAACCATTCTTTCCCACGAGAATCTTGCGTTGGCTTAGTTTGCTCGTGATGAAATGTTGCTCAACTCTAAGAGAACCATCTCGTAATTCCTTCCAATCTATCAAACGATGTTCGATTTCATATGGAATTTCCTGAATCGGGATAGTTGCAATCCATCATCAAAATCATAAATTAATCATCTGATCGTACAGCATACTTTTGTCAGATTCTATCCATAAATCAGAGATTGACTTGAACTACCACCTGATGTACATGGTCCAGCAATCTTTCACGCACAACCTCCATGGCTATCATCTTCATAACTTCTTCACTCATCACAAATGGATCTTCTTCCCATGGTCGTTGAACTGCCTAAGCATGAGAAGTAATTCAAAATCCAGATTTAGGTCTTGAAATGTCTAACATGAGAGTTTTGGAGAAATATAAAAAAGATACGCAGTTTACGAGTTTTTAGAAGGAAGTAGTTTCATCAGTAAAAAGCACATTGTTGTTTAGGACCAATGTTTTATGGAACCCGATAACACATTCCAGGTCAGAGGAAAAACAAAATCATTTGGATAGGGAGGATAAAGAGCACAACTAGAAAAGATACATGCCTGTTCCATCAAGTACTGTGACAGATCTTTTACCCCATACCCCTTCAGTCCTGATATCATGAAAAACCTACACAACAATAACGGGAGATCGTCAGGTCTAGGCCCTATAGTTGATCCACAGAAAGGTTAGAATTTATAATGCAAATTGGCACTTTATCCAGTCTCTTTAGAAGAACACCAGACCTTTCATATCCAGGAAGATGTTCGAATTCTTCTGAAACCTTCATCAAGTCTTTCTTTTTCTTCACTAAATCAATCTTGTTCATACATAAAACTCGTTTCTGATTGGGGTGGATTCGAGCTCCCATACGTTTAATCAATTGTATCACCCTTGCATCAGGTCTACATTGATTGAATGTAAAAAAGACATAAGCAACTTAGATGAAAATGGGTTAAAAAAAAAAAATCAAGTTAAAATGACTTGTCATGTGGTCACGATATGAGCAGTGCAACATGCATATAACGATATAGGATTCAATTTACATCATATTTAATTTACCAAAGTAACCATCTTCATAAGCTTTCCAGCGTCCAAATAATACATAAGCAATTATCCACATAACCAGTAAAATATGATCTCCTAGCATGCCAACATGTCACAGTACTGACTATATTTAGAAATTCAGACTGCACGAGTCTTTGTTGATGCACAAAGTCTTCAACATTAAACCTCCCATCTTAGTCTTCATCTCTAGCCAGACATATTTGATCAGATAAATAGAAGAATAATAGGTTTTCAAATTCTAACATAGAATAATGAATAAGTTATATCGAATGAAAGAGTAAGATTACTCCCACAGTACTCATACTAACCTAGTAAGATGCCTATGGACATCAAAAACAACCAGAAGCACATCATAGAGATTGATTGAGCTCCAAGCACTTTCAACACGACTCTTGACATCCCTATGAGGATATCCTTTACAAGTTAACGAGAGCCCTGGTGTATCAAAAAAACACTGCATAGAGATTTTTATACAGTTGTAAGCATGGGTGGTTCAATTTCAATTTAAAATATAAGAAAATGCAATATATCAAATAAAATTTACCACAACGCCGCAAAATAAAATAGCACGGTCATGGGTAAATACATCAAGCTCTTGCATGCTGGATGACATCAGAAAAAGTAAGAAAACAAAAAACGTACAAGCAGCATGTTTTACTTGAATATGGAAAAGTTGAGGTAGGAAAGCAATAATTGACTTCTGGCTAAAACCTGGCCTTCCAGTTTTACTAGTTTCTTTATTTGATGTGTGTGTGTGTGTGATTTGACAAACTTGCTGCAATGGGTTCATCTATAATACATAACCTCTAGACCAACTTTTCTTTTTATTGACTCATCACAAAACCCACCATTGAATTATAAGCTTAAGTACTGAGCTTGAATTTCAAAGGGCTTGCTCATTTAGGTCAAAAAGATGCCTCATCCATGCAAAGCATGTGTCAAGAGAAGAATATCCGAATTTTAAGAAGCATTTAGGTATTACTCATAATAAAAATTATAAAGTTAATTAATTATCTTCATGAAGCATTGGGTGCTTCCAACGCAATACAGCCTTAGTGAAACTTCAACAGATATTCTCTTGTTATTAGATAGAAATAAAGTAATGACAAAAGTTACTCACAATTTGGGTTTCTCCTTTCGTCATCGCTCCGACCACTTCATGAGTGGTGGTGTTTGTCTTCCGCGAAACAGCTGCTACCTTTGTACCAGCCTACGGTAAAAGAGTGAGGACATAAATATGAAAAAAAAAAAATCTTCCAAAAATGATGTTGATAACAAAAGAGGACGCTAGACGCTTTTCTGAATGCACCCTGACATATATCAATTACTTCAACGTAATATGACACTCCAAATAAACGAAAAACAGTAGCTTTTTAACAACAATATACCAGTTAAAATGAACTTTTAAGAGATGACATGCTACAACACTAATTGGATACAAAAACTCATCTCCCGTAAATGTTTCAAGACATCAAAAGCAGATTAAGATAGAAATAAGGAACATTATCATGGAAAAAAATGATACTTGTAACCATCAAGCAGCTCCTCCAGAGTCAGGATTTTTTTACCCCAAATTAACACAACATCAATCCTCAGCGGTGAAATTTTATAGAAGTATTGGAACTAAAATAGGAATGAAGATATAAAGGAAGAAAATGAAACCATTTTCTTGCACACTCAACCAAGTGAAAGTCAGACACCTCAAGAAAAGGATTTTGTCAGGTCGGGACCGAGTAACAAAGAGAACCAACCATATAATTAGTCAGTGCAGACTTCCCAGCATTGGGAGCACCGATTATTCCAACGGCCAAAGATTTCTGGTCCTCCTCCTTCACCACACTTTCATCCTCATCCTCGCTATCCCCTTTCTCCAGTGATGCCTCAAGTAAAGCTTTGGCCAACACTCTCCTCCTGTTCTCATCATCCTCCTCCTCCTCGAATCTCAAATTGCCCTGAGTGATTTCCTTTCCAAAGATCAATTCATCAGCTCTGGCCCTGTACTTTCGGTCCCAGATGGGTTGCTGCTGCTGCTGGGCGTGAGCATCGGTGTCTGAAATATTGGGAATTTCGTAATGGGAACTATCGAAAACTGAATCTGGATCATTTTCCGACTCCGGGTAGGTTGTCGGTTGCGTCACCTCCTCTTGCTCTGGTTCAGCAGAGTAAAACCTGCGCAGGAAGGAAGGCTTAAGGGCACAGAGATTGTTGTGTGGAGTGGAAGAGACAGTCCTGAGTATTCTCAGAGATCTTAGAGCTTTCATGGTGGCCCCTATAAAGGAAACATGGAGGCAGAAGCGTCCGTAGTCTATGCGTTGTTTTTGGGGTGTTTCGCTGCTGAACGAGGCTTTGGGTTTAGGGGTTAAGGGTTGCAGACAAGCTGCCTCTCGATTTTCTTTCATTATAACAGCGGCAGTCCCGGTCACTTCATAGTTAGTCTTGCCTCAACGTTACGGGCATGCAGTGAATAACGGAATTCCATGGACGGCTATAAATAAAAAAATATATATATAATCATCTAATGCTTCTATCAATTTTGTATTTCATACATAGATCCTATCTTATTCTAAAATATCTCGTATTTTAAAATATTATGTTGACATCTATATTAATATAAACAAAATCATTACTCAAATTTTTTTTATTTGAAAAATGTAATGGATTTTTTGAGGCCGCTAATGTACATTTTTCATGAACCTAGTTTCATTTTATTTTTTTTGAATTGGAATAGTAAAAGAGGAAGAAAAATGTCTGACAAGCGGTAAAAGATTGAGCCGAAATAAATAGATCGGACCCTACAATTTTTAACCCTCAGGCTGAAACACAAAAGGGAACGACTATTTACACACAGTAACAGGCATGGTAAACAAACTCACATAGCCTGGCTTATATTTTAGTCGTCTCGGATGTCCAATCCCCACGTCCCAATCCCATCATCTAAAAGTGTCCACAAATGTCTGATAAAATGGAGCCCAATTAGAGCCATGTCGATGGCTCGGGTGAAAAACCTCTTCTGCGAAGCCGAAGAACAGGTCTTGGTGACATTTTGCGTTTGTTTGTCATCATTTTTCGCTCAGAGTTAAGTGGAGAAGAGAGAAATTTTTTTTAATAAACTCTGTTTACAAAAATCAAAAAATGGGATTAAATTTTTTTGATTAATTTTAATTACTCTTTTATTCTACATCTTCTTTTTATCAAAATTTGCCCTTCATTTTTTTTCCCCAACGGAGCCATCTCGGTGAAAAACCTCTTCCGCGAAGAACAGGCTTCGGTGATATTTTTGCATTCGTTCATCATCATTTTTCGCTCAGAGTCAAGTGTGTGGTAAAGCGGAGAATGAGAATGAGGCAGGGGAATAATGCTGCATATTAGTGACATCCAAGAATCGTACACCTTCAAATTTGGTCATTACGTCCAGCCACATACAAACTACCGAAACCACAAACAAACAAATTGATATTTCCAAACTCAATTACACCACATTTTTAGCCATTTGTCCTAAAAGTTATCTTTTTTCCTATGCCTAGAGAAAAACAGAAAAAATAGATTAAAAGACCACTGGATTTTTGCAACTTCCTATGAGATCCCATTTTAACTTAACTAACCCCGCCACTCCCCAGATAGAAGCCTCCGCATCATTTTTCTGCCAAGAATAGCGCCACTAGGTTGGTCGATAGAAAACTCCATGCAAAGAATGATGAAACTGCATCAGAATCTTGGGACAAAATACACTAAAATTCTAACGGCCATCAACAGTGGACAAATTTGACAATACAAGGTTCAAATTGTCCTAAAAAGCCATTCGACCTGCTAGCCTGCTTTCAAGTATCCTCTTGTCTATGGCTGCGTCAATCGAGCTCATCTGAAAAATAATCGCAAGAATGATCAGCACATACTCAGACTGCTGATCACTACAACAAAAACCAAATATATAACAGCCTGGGCCTATGCACGAGATTCCAAACTCTGCGAAAGAAGCTGACCTGGCCAAGTCTGAATTCACTTGTTCCATAAAATAAATTGTAATGATGCTACGGATGAGCGAAAATCAGGTGTGTAAGATCTTATTCATCCCAAAACCGGATTCTTGGAAATTGAGCATAGGGAGAAGGAATAACAATAGTAAAACCCAGCCTTAAAAAAGTATACATACGTACTCTTCTACTACAAAAGCGGGGTGACGGGAATTGGTTGTTTGCAGCATACTTCACATATTATACCACAAGAATTGACTATGGAAGAGAAATTAGCAACAAGTACGTACTTGAATCTTTTGATGCTCACAAATTCAGGAGGCATAGCTTGCAGCCAAAATGGCAGTTAAAAATAAAACAGAATGCACTACTCGTTATTATTTAGGTTGAGACAAAAGACGGGAAAAAAATTAAAATGTCATTCAACTTCCTTTTTAGAAAGAGGAGTAAATAAAATATCATACAGAATGTACCTCTATCAATAGCAAACAATGCGTAAACAACTGAATCTGAAAATAAGCATAAAGCCTACCCATCTGGTTAGATGTGAAAGCAACTCCTTCTATTAAAGAGGTAGTATGACTTACCTGGCTAGTTTCATCATGCACCTGGTATTTTGGTAAGGACATTCTTCTTTCCTCCTGCAGATATGAAAGTAAAATAACACCACTTAACAAATTTAACAGTATTCTCATACCAAACAAATATGTTACTCTAGGAGATAACGCACCATGGACATTGCCTCGTCATCCCAAACTAAATAGACCTCATTAGTGGCAGGTTGAGTTGCAGGAGCTTTGTTTGCAATTACTGGGGGTGGTCCAATTGAAGGACCACCAGTATTTGGACCAGAAGCATAAGAATGCGAGTTGTTTGATATACCTCCTGCAGTAACCAAAATAGGTCAAATTAAAATCACTACAATGTATAAAACCAACCCAACGATGTTATAACGTCCTTCCTACAGTCAACAGGGAGAAAAATGAATAAAGCATACAAGCTCAGCTCAATGACAAAAACAATAGTGACATTTGGAAGCAAGCTTTAGTATCTAATCCTTCACAATACCATGTTATAGTACTGGACAGAATTAAGTTTAAACCAGTAGGGGGAGTAACACTACACACAAATAGCTATTAGCAGTATTTCCTGTGTCTTAGGAACAAACAAGTAGTCACTTTGGTGTGAACAAATTTAGATGCATTGCATGTCTCACCATTCACGAGTTATAAGCAGTAAAAATCATAAGCAAGAGAGGCTAATTCAACGCATACATCAGAAAAAAGAGGCACGACACTTGTGACGTAAGCCTGACACAATACAGTAGAAGTGATTACTTTCCACTTAAATTACATAGAAAATATAGGCAAAGCTGAAATTTAATAAAAAGACCAACTATTCGTGTAATGTGCGCTAGCATAGAAAATACAATATGACATCTTGTCCTAGGATTATTACCCACTGATATGGGGGCATGCGATTGTAAACGAAAGTTTGGAATACAAGAAGAAGCCTTATCCCATCAAGTGAGGAAAATGGAAATTTGGAATATTGATATTTGAAGACAAGTGCTTTTTTAATAAAAAGGAGCTGGCATGCAAACTGAAATATTCATGAATTGTTTTAACTTTTAAGTAAAAAAAAAATCAACATTTGAGTACCTGGAACCCCTAGTACTTGATAATTATTTGTCAAAGTTGTGTTGGCACTTGAATAAGCATCAGCAGGGACACTTGGAGGCAATGCAGATGGAGCACTGCTAGGGAGCGATGGAGCAGAAAATGTTGAACTTTGGGCCATCGTATGGTTATTTCCAACAACAGGAAACAAAGGCTGTGAAACTGGAGCAGATGTTGGAGGCAAACCAGGAGGAGCAACTTGAGAAGTTGGAAGGACAGGAGAAGCGGTTGATGGTAAAGGTGGCCTCACATTCTGAACAGGAAATAATGGCTGCTGTACATATGGGGCAGAAGGAGGAATGGAAACAGATGGAGGTTGTGGGTACCAAGGCTGAGGTCGAGGTGGAACTGGCCAAGTGGCCGGCGGCACAGGTACTGCAGGATTATAACTGATTACCAAGAGACGACAAAACAATAAGCTAATTATCCTTGTGCCACTTGGAACATAAGTGAATGACTATCACTTTCTTTACATGCCAAATACAACATTAATGAAACCAAGGGAAGTTAGATATACAATTAGGAAACATACATAGGTGGCATAGTACCCAAGGTTGACTGAGGAGGATATCCCACTCCTAATGGTGCTGGGACGACTCCACCTACAAGCTGAGTTGATGGGATATCTACTTTGGCTGTTTTTGATGGAGCTTCATCCTCTGCATTCAATAGAAATTTATCAGAAAGCAATTCAAATTTAAATGTTTTGCCTATGCAAGTATTTCAGTCTTGCTACAAATGTTGCATGTATCATGCATAACAAGTGCTTCTACAACGAATTAATTATCAGATAGAACCAAATCCAACAAGGATAATAAGTTGCAAAAAAGGGTCTACATGCTAAAGCGTTCATTCCATAACCTCCTAGCAAATACCAAACGAGCCTATAGACCAGCAAATACAAACATTCTTTTATTATATATATAAACAGTTTTGAATGATGCAAGTGGACGTAACAACTCGTTCAAGGCCGTTATCAAGAGAACGTAAAATCAACTTGACAGCAGAGAGAAAATGCATTTTTCTTCTTCTTGCCAACCTTCAATACCAAATACAAATGTTTTCACTGACACTCTACCTGTACCAATCAACTTTCACCCAAAATAACACGAAAAGGGGACAAATCTATTTTTCAAACAACACTAAGACAACATTGTAGATCACCATTCAGAGAAAGGAAAAAAAAAAAAAACGTTGAAAACTTTTTTCTTTGAGATAACATTGTAAAACTCATCATTAGATGTAGAGACTTGTTCGAGGCCACAATCAAAACAACACAATCAATTTGACAGGCACGGAGAGTCTCCATGTGTTGTTTTCACCAATCTTCAATACAAAACACGCCATAATTGTTCACTGACACTTTTGCTCTGCTAATTGGCTTTTCCGCAAAATAAAATAACAATCAAAGTCAGGCCACGAGATGTAGTGACTTGTTTGAGGCCAAATCAGAACAAGTTGAAATCAATTGGACAGGCAAGGAGAATTGTCATGTATATTCTCGCCAATCTTCAAGGCAGTGTATGCCATCTGTTCTCTTATTGACATTCTCGCTCCACTAATTAGCTTTCTCCAGAAAATACCACGCATAAAAACACAGGCCATGATACTCACACTAGAGGAAACATTAATATAACCTTTAGGACACAATGCCCAAATCAGATACATCACAATTACACAAGCTGGCAAAATGAAACCCATATAAGCCAGTTCAT